GACTTTTGACCTTAGTACGGCATTCAGATTGACGCAACACATGAAACTTCATCCCTCGTTTATGTTGAAAACGGGTTGAGTTTTTATCCGTCATGCCACGTGAAGGGCATCCTCAGAGCTGGAACTCATTCTTGCAAAAGCCGTATAGCCTTTTTGACTTAGCAGAAACTTGACACTGTAAGGAGTTCCAGCTCTGATGATGTTCATCACATGTCGGGCTGCTCACTTCCGGTGAAACGAGATGTGATTAGGTAGCGTGAGGCTCGAGCAAACTGAAACGGAGGGGACTAGAGTAGAATAAATATATATTCACCTTAGGTCGCTTAAAGTGATTTAAGAGTGTTCTCCTTTACCGAAATTACTCATTTACCGAGACTACCAGTGGGTCATATTTATTATACGTATTAACCCCATTTCGTTAAAGTTGAAATATCTCACAATGATAAGAGTTGACTTCACGTCTTCATTCAATTTCACATAGCATTGCTTCCAAAAAAGTATTCTCTTCCAGAGTAGCATTCAAGACAAGTCATGTCTATCTCTAATTACGATATTCCTGTAGCGATATCGAACCTCGTTAGGTTGCCTATTAGACTTGTGCCAGGCCGAAACCGTAGTCCAGCCTGGATAAGATAGCCTTTTGAGAGGGAAGGCTAAGTGAAATTCAATGGCATCGTGAGGCCTACTTATTTTACATTAGGAAAAACTCAACTTTCAGTTCTTTATTTAGCCTAAGTGACTAAGTTCTTATTCAAGAAGATAGTTTAGATAATTAAAATTAATAAAAATTACTAGACTAGGTCGTTCGGAATTTAACGTCGGCCATGGTGTATAGTAGCACTTATTTACTTGTGACAAATTTAACAATCCATCCGGTAATTATTCTGGTTCCTTTCATAGATTTACGGATTACTTCGAAACCTACTCATTCGGCACATATTCCCAATGTAAAAATGTAAATTGAGAGAGGCTTGGTCTGTAAGTTACATCTGTCTTGCCCCAGTGTGTGGCCGAGGATTAACGTTGGCTTTTTAATGCATCAACCAGCTTCAAATCCTGTCGAAAATGGAAGTAAGATCGAGTCGAAGTCAAACCTGCAGTCCAGCCTGGATCAGCATGGAATCGTGATATCTTATACCCTTTTCCTTGTGGGAAATTCAACTATCAGTGCCCACAACGCTTTATACAACCAGATATGTATACAATTCTCAATTATTATATTTAGCCCACGCTAAGGCTTCATTCAATGGCTGGAGCTAAACATGGGCAGATGAACACCAGCCTACTAAAATGGCCCGGAACGAATTGTATTGGCTTTTCCAGAATCGTATAACCTTCAGCTCAAATATATGAAATGTATTCATCCTATAGTTTTGTGCTCTATGATGTCCCCGAATGGTTGAATTAATTAAAGCAACTCTCGAGTTCGCAGCCGAAGCGCACATGGCGGTCTGAAATTCAATGAAAATATCAGGCTTTCTTTTCAATTAATTCAATACAAAATCAGTCCCAATAAGAATAGCAACTTTGCTTTCTGTAAGAAGACTAGCTTCCGAAAAGAAAGATCATGCCTTGCAAAAACCAGTCCTACTGAACTAATTATTCTCTGCTTCGTATCTCAATAAACGTTAGTTAATCTTACCAGATGAAGCTTGTCACTTAGTTCTAAGTTAGGTCAATTACCTGGGTCAGCTAAAAGGTAGGTTATGAGGGCTTCTTCATCCTTAATGACCTCATTCCAATCCAGATGGCAAATTTGCTCATTTTCTTGCCAACTCCCCAGGTCATAGTATTTCATGCATAAGAAAAGACCGAACAACTCAAGAATAGCTTGATATTTTATTGAATCCTCTGAAGGGAATGCCAATACTGACTTCCCTTGCAGAATGAACGCAAGCCCTGGATCACAGTCACTACGATACTACCAGAAATCAGGCTATTCTGCAATTCACATCACTTTATATTAACGTGTCTGTCTGCTTGAGAGTGTAGCTGTTCTGAGCTTTATTGCGTATTGCCATTTTTATTTTTTTTCACACTACTTACTATGTAACTACTTGGAGCGACTGTTGGTTTGTTAATCTGGTCTGTTTATAGGGGGCAATGGTGGGGTGGCATGTCAGCACTACTTTTCCAGCTTCCTGTCTCCTGTCTTCAAAGTAGTATCTGCTTTCTGGGACCTGCTCTTTGTCTCTGGCCCCTCGGTGACTTCGCCAGGCAGGGCCAAAAGTCTTTTGCTCCGAATCAACTTTGTCGTCTCCTTGACGGTGTTGTCAATAGGCGAAGTCTGTCCTTGCGATGCACCTTCGCTGGAGGTGCCGCTTTTCATTAGTTCTGCTTGCTGTTGCAGACGCGCCATCAGGGAACGGATCTCCTCTTCCGACACGACGGTCCAGCCTTTCTCGTTGTCGTGCTCCTCTTCACCACTCGACTGAGCCTCCCCAGACGAACCGGCTTGATCCCTGCCCTCAGATGCAATGTCGTTGCCTAGGCGATTTTGCTGTCTGGCCCGGCCATCGACCGCCATCTTGGCCGCGACAGGCTCGATTTTCGTCGTCAAGCCTCCCTTTAGAGAAGGGGTGACAGCAGGTGTGGACGTAGGCTTCTGAATCTGATCGCTGACCGGCCCAGCGGCTGGAATTGTAGGTCTGGAGGCCGGAAGGCTAGCATCCGGTGGAGTGTTGTTGGCGGCGTTGTTTTTGCTACCATCTGCATGTTGGGGTCTGGCGTCACCTCCTTTAGGGAGGGTCGAGATTTTAGATGCCTTGAGCAAAGTTGGCGTGTGTCCAACCCAAACAAGGAGTAGGACAGTGAGGAAGACGAGTGGGCGATTGTGACTCATCGCGAGTCAGTCTGAAGATGAAGCAGAGTTGAAGCCGAGTCAGATGCTGATCCTGCCGGTTGAGCTTTGAGGTGTATGTACGGCAGATGGCACTATAATATTCAGTTTCCACTTGGATTCGCATATTTATTCACTTTTCAATACATATCTACATGCGTGCATATGGGTCTCTACAAGTAGGGCAGAAAAGTGTACACTTTAGTGTGTGGGCTGAATCTTGAGCTGGTAGCACGAGCGGCATGATCAGGCTTGCGAAGGGTCTGCCTAGGTCACGTATGCCACTTCGGAAGGCAGTCGGAGCTCTTCTGGTTTGAGTGACGTTAAATCGATGCGTCCATGACACGAACTCCCTCCTTGGCTCAGGTGTCAAGGAGAGATTTATGCTTATTGAAGCAAGCCAATCCCTCTGCTCCGTATTCTTACTCGGAATTCGAGAGATAATCAGGCGTGAATGTAA